AATTATAAATCAATAAATTCTACTTTAAATTAGAGCTCCTAATGAGTCGAGTCGAGTCGAGTTTTAAAGATAACTCGACTCAACACAAAAAATTTGAGTTGAGTTGAGTCAAGTCAAGTCAAAAAATTTTAAAACTCTAACTCGATTCAACTCATTAGGAGCTTTAATTTAAAGTAGAATTTATTGATTTATAATTTTGGCTGATAATACAATTGCGAGTATCTCGTGATTAGATGATCCAAAATCAATTAATGTTAGCTCATTGGATTCGTCTAGTCACGAGGAATCGAATGATAGTTGTTTCATATCATACGATTCAGTGCAATATTGACCGAGATCGTACATCTTTTGTTTTTTGTTTTTTCTAAATATAAAAATCATGTGATATGATGTTATTTCGACTATTTCGCGATTTTAGCCTTCAATAGTCAAAATGATTTCAATCATTTCAACCATTTCGAATATCCAAAATGATACATTTTGACTTCATGTATAGTGCAGATGCTATTTCAAGCCTCACTTATCAACAAATCCAAAATATCACAGATTATGTGAATTCAGTGGTAAGTTCACACAATGAAATTGTGAATATTTTTCATGATCAGAGTCATGTGACTTCAAAAATTACTGATAATAAGTTGACTAATACATATATCCTTCCGAAAGCTGAAATAAGTACATTAGCAAATATATTATCTACATCTCAATCTAAGCTAACTTATGACTGATCCTATTTTTGCAATAAGATATTGAACCAATATCCTAATATATATAGAGAATTTAATAGTGAAGGTTTCGATTATTATGGCATTACTGATGAGACATTATATCTATTATGCAAGTTAGATCATAATGATGAAGAAAGTATAGAATAAAGATAGTACAGCAATTGATTTCAAATTTACAAAATGTTGTAACATAAGCTAAAATTAGTTGCAACATATGTTGCAACATTATAAGTTGCAACATATATAGGTTAAAACTAATTGCAACGTAAGTTGCAACATTAAAAGTTGCAACATATTAATTACAGTTTCCATCTTTAGTATAGAAGGTAGGTATAAATCCAGATCTTACTTTATTAAATGTGAATAGCGTGAAATTGAGATAGTTGCATAGTCTCATTATTTTATAGTATTATATATGCTTACACTTTATTGTAATATTTTTTTACAGAACTAATTTATGTTGACTATTATCTAATTTAAATTGATTTGCAATCATATAAAAAGGCAATATAAGTAAGTCCAATAAAGTATTAACCCTGAGTACCTGGATTAGTATGTCAAGTTAAGTGGGTTACCAAGTGTTTTGATAGATAAGATTCGTTCCAATTTATACAAAAAATATAAAAAAGTAACTGAACATGAACTATGGCAATTATCAGAAGCTGTGACAAGTGTATCAGCAAAGTCTCAAGCCTCCAATTTTAATTCTATCACTTACGAAGCTGAACCCTATTCAGAATTAATTATTGAATCTATTTTAGAGTATTTCACAACCCTGAAATTCCGAAATAGTTTTAGGAAATTGATAATTATAATTTTGTATTAGCTCAATTATGGAACTCGGCATGTCATACTTGTAATGGAAAAGATGGAAATTATGAATTACACAGTGAATGGTATAGAAATGGAACAGAATATCATTTTACCTACAACAGTTCAAGCAATAAACTCAAGTTTGTGATTGTGGCTTAGACTGGTCATGTGAGATCAATCATCTGAAAAATTGCATAGTATGAGATTATGATATATTTTTTTCAACACATATCTTATAAATAGTAACATTCACGATATACTGCAGTATGAAAGAGTGCCAGCAAAAAAAATATACTGGAGAAGAAATCTTTGGATAAGTTATTATGCAGTTAAGGTGAGTTTACTTTCAGTTGTATTGGGTATTTGCAAGGAAGCAACAAGCTAATAAACAATTTTTTCATTTAGGATTTTGAGAATAATATTAGCATCTCATAAGGGGAAGTGGTATAATGCTTCAATTTTTATCATTTTAAATAGCTAGTTTAAAGTAGCATCATTATGTAGCAGTCTTTGATCTGTATTATGTATTTTTTTTCTCGTATGATCAATAAAGCAAAGATGCAATTAATTTACAAAATTCAGATATACAATAGAGGGATTATGGGAAGCGTGTATGCTAATATATTTTTTCAATCAAGTTTTATTGTAACGAAATCATTAATCTAGAACTTAATAAATGCGCAGTATCATTCGAAACATTTTAGTATAGACATCACATGTATCATGGGAACAAGTAATAATTTATTCTCAAACTTTCTCGCATATTCTCAAAATTATTACGTATATTATTGTAAAAGGATCCCTTGATGATCTTTACATATGGATAGCATTAAATTCTTTTTTGTTAAATTAAGGAGAGTCTGTTGATCAGATTTTCGTGATGTGATCATATTAACATAATTTTCCCCAAAAAAGCGTATTCCAAAATCGTTATTGATCAAAAACTTAATTTAGTTTAATAAAGAAAATAAGGAGTAAAGTTTGTGACTTTACACTAACATTTGTATACTAACTTTTGAAATGTTAAACCATTTTTGAAGAAGTTGGAATTATGGGGGTCTGAAGAGGAGAAGGATTGCACGTGAGGGTATTTCCAAATGAAAATGAGAGGTTGTAGGTGTTTTAATGTAAACAACCAGTTCCATGCTCCCCTAAAAAAGTTCAATTTCCTGTAATTTCTGATTATTCGAAAAAAATTCTGATAAGGGCCAGTCGTGAATTAATTGATGTAAAATACCCAATTGATTGTTATATGAGATATCTGATATACAAGAATCTTATGTTACGTACCTTCATCCTGTAATCTAGCAATATGAAAGGAATAGAGATTATAGACCCACTATTGTTGTGATTAATCCATTTACTAGAGGAAGTCAACTTTATAATTTTCTACCTATCTAGTTCAAGATTCTTCTTCCTGAAAAAATGTATGAATATTTTTCATCAGCTCTTGCACATTCATTGAGTTTCTATGCAAGCTTGATTCAGAATAGACGAAACACTTGAATTCATTGAGCGTAAACTAAGATCTATCGCAATTTGCTAGAGATCATGCAAAAAAGTTGTTGAAAGAACTATCTGTAAGTTACATTTCCTAATTCACTTATTAGCTCTTTTGCAAATTGGGATAACTCAATATATTGATAATACATATGTCAATCTGAGGAAATCAGTTCATTTTGGGATTTGATATTAGAACGTGAAAAGCGTCACGCTACTGAAGAACATGATTGCAATTTTGTTGAGTTTGTTCTCATCAAAGGATAAACATATTTATTAAATTACAAATTACAATAAAGAAATATCCACCGCTCCGCTGTCAAACTGACAGTCATACGACACAGTAGTCTACCTTTGCATGCAGAACGTTCACCGTCAGGTTGATAGGCATGAAGTTGTTCTGCACGTACCTCTACCACATCACTGTCAAGCTGGCAGGTATGAATGTGATAGACAACTACAAGGAGAGGTCACTGTCAAGCTGACAGGCATGATAATCTCCCCTTGCACTTCCAGACAACTTGCCGTCAGGCTGACAGTCGCAAGTTGCGTGGGCAAAATACAAGTTCGTAATAGATGATTGTCTGATTATCATATTGGCCATAAAATCAAAAGTTTATACAATATTAAAACGCGATAGACTTAAACGGCTTTCATTTCCCTATCCCTAGTACTAACGTGTTTTCATCCTAGACACTGCCATGTCTGATATTATCAGAAAACTATGACTAGAAGCAACCAAATTCTTCAAGTATCAGATAAACAAGAATGCACATTGCATTCATGAATTTTTTAAGAGTGTCTCTGCCTCATAGTGGTTACTAAGTGCCTTTGTCAAGT